AGAGACGGGGTCTCACTCTTGTTCAGGCTGGTCTCGAACTCCTGACCTTGAGCGATCCTCCCGCCTCGGCCTCCCAGAGTGCTAGGATGACAGGCGTGAGCCACCTTGCCTGGCCTCCACGGGTGATTCTGAGCTTCCAAGCTTCTTGAGAGCCACAGCTCTTAGCTTAAGGACACTAACCGCCAGGTTTATATTTAAAAGAACAATTCATTCATTCTTTCTCCCTTCCCCTCTCTCTTTTCCCTCCCCCTCTCCCCCCACCTGCCCTGGCAGCTCTAAATGCTGGTCTGTGGAGGTAGAGCAATACTCCACTCCTGTTTGTCCTGAGAGGCATGACAGCTCGGGTGACCCTCCCTCCTGCCCCCTCCAGAGTAGTTCAGTAAGTGACAAAGGGGACGACCTCAGTCTCTTATGAAGACCCACCACTTCTCTTGGAGAAATGGTCACACATCATTTTTCTCACTTAGCAAAATACAAAGTGTTTCAAGAGCCCATTGCTTCCAGAAGTTCACAGTGAACATAAAAGAAATACAGGCTAAAGAAAATTGTCGGAAGACCCTAAAGAATAATCCACCTGCTGGTTTCCCTTTGAGCCGGCCCACCACAAGACTCTGGGTTTAGGGGGAGTATCTAGCCCTGATAATCTTCCTTTCTTGGTTTGATATTAGTGGCATTGCAAAGAGGTAAGAAAGGCTGGGAGAGGGAAGAGAAGATGGCACGTGTAAGCCCAAAGCAATTTTGGTTACCAAAAAGGTAACCAGATCTTCCCAGTTTCTAGCACTTTCTGTGAGCTAGTTTATGTAGATAGATACTTTAAAAAATAAATAATTGGCCGGGCGCGGTGGCTCACGCCTGTAATCCTAACACTCTGGGAGGCCGAGGCGGGCGGATTGCTCAAGGTCAGGAGTTCAAAACCAGCCTGAGCGCGACCCCATCTCTACCATAAAAATAGAAAGAAATTAATTGGCCAACTAATATATATAATATAAAAGTCAGCCGGGCATGGTGGCTCGTGCCTGTAGTCCCAGCTACTCGGGAGGCTGAGGCAGGAGGATTGCTTGAGCCCAGGAGTTTGAGGTTGCTGTGAGCTAGGCTGACACCACGGCACTCACTCTAGCCTAGGCAGAAAAGCGAGACTGTGTCTCAAAAATAAATAAATAAATAAATAAATAATTGCAGCATCAGGGCACAAAAATAACGCTGTAAGATTGACACGGTCTACCCAGGCATCGGAATTCATTTAGGAAAGAGCCAGCAGTTTGCATTTAACCTCTTGAAAACACTTATGCAATGTCGTCGGCCAACCACAAAAGAGAAATACCGGCACAGGACAAATGACCCCTTGAATATTTTATAAGATGTGAATAACCACAACAGGAAAACTCGTGCTAAGATTAAAGTTTAAATAGCTTTAAAATATTTTTAGTTCTTTTTATCTGAAATTGTTTAGACTACTTTCAGAGACACTTTCCAATAAGAAAACTGTTGAGAAGCTTTGTAAGGCTAAGGCAGTTTGATTTACACAGTTGCTTTAAGGGAGGAAGAGAGAGAGAGACAGAGAGAGTGAGAGAAGGAACAAAGCAGCTGCAAACATTTGCCAACCTAAGGGCTGAGAGCTTTGTGGAGAAATAACAGACACGTTTGACTGTAGAGGTCTCTCACCCTCATTTCTAGAAATCAAATTTGTTTGGTGAACTTTGGGGAAGTAGGTGATTTCAAACAGTCCTCCTTAGCAGCCAACCAAGGCCAGTGGCCCTCAGCAAACTAACCCGAGGAGTCCTTTAAAGTCGACAGGGACCTCCCCATAAAACCTCACACAGTTCCTGTAACAGGAAGCCACAGAAATCTAATAAAATAGGCTCACGCCTGTAATCTTAGCAGTCTGGGAGGCCGAGGCGGGAGGATTGCTCAAGGTCAGGAGTTTGAAACCAGCCTGAGCAAGAGCTAGACCCCGTCTCTACTATAAATAGAAATTATTGGCCAAATATATATATATATATATATATATATATATATGTATATGTATATATATATATATAATTAGCCGGGCATGGTGGCCCATGCCTGTAGTCCCGGCTACTCGGGAGGCTGAGGCAGGAGGATCGCTTGAGCCCAGGAGTTTGAGGTTGCTGTGAACTAGGCTGATGCCACGGCACTCTAGCTCGGGCAACAGAGTGAGACTCTGTCAAAAAAAAAAAAAAGAAATCTAATAAAACAAAATACACTAGATTAAATGTAAGAATAGTAGTACTCTTAGATTTATGGAGCAGCAATTAAATAACCAAGAAAGAGGAGAAAGTATATGCATCATAGCCCTTGAATCTCAGTCCAGTTTAGAAATCTAATATTTCTGAAGGACTAAGAATTCTACCAAGAAGCAGCAAAGAGTTTCATGGAAGAGCCAGCACAGCTGTGTTAAATGGAATGCAATGGAAACTTTCTAAGGCAAGAGATAAAATCAGAGGCAGCAGTCTCCCAGCCCTTGTGTTCTGCTCAGGCACGGTGAGCAGTGGTGGGTGGTTTCACTGGGTGGCTTTGGCTGGCATGGGTGTCCCACTAGGACAGTCCATGCCCATTCAAAATGGCAACAAGCCCTTGCCTGCATTTAGACTGTTGTCTTCCTGGTTTTTCCTACTAAAGACAGACTAGGCCAGGCGCGACGGCTCACGCCTGTAATCCTAGCACTCTGAGAGGCCGAGGAGGGAGGATCACTCAAGGTCAGAAGTTCGAGACCAGCCTGAGCAAGAGCGAGACCCCCGTCTCTGCTAAAAATAGAAGGAAATTAATTGGCCAACTCAAAATAGATAGAAAAAATTAGCCGGGCATGGTGGTGCATGCCTGTAGTCCCGGCTACTTGGGAGGCTGAGGCAGGAGGATCGCTTGAGCCCAGGAATTTGAGGTTGCTGTGAGCTAGGATGATGCCATGGCAACAAAGTGAGACTCTGTCTCAAAGAAAAAAAAAAAGACACACTAGTCTGTTGAGAAGGGTCTAGCTGAATAGGGGACCAAAACCAAAGCTAAGGCTTTCCATTCTAGGTCACTAACTGGGCGACACTTTGACAGTGAGTCTTTCTCTGCTTCCTTCTCCTGGCTGTTACAGGACAGGGCTGGGGGGTGGGTAATTTCCAGGGTCTTCCCAGCCTGAAATGCTGAGTCAGAGGGAGGGGGGATGGGTCCAAACAGGAGGGGAGGGGTTTCTGGGCTGGCTAGACTCTCTCCTGCTTCAGCACTGGGACAGAAACCACCATGGCTGCAGACTTTCAGGTGGGGAGAACAGACTCCCCTAAAAACACGGGATTTCATGATGGCTTGGCAAGTAATTTGAGCCCGAGACTCGGGTGGAACTTCTCATCTTGCCTGAAAGTCCCTTCCAGTGACCTAAAGGAGAGGTAAAGGCATTGGTTCAGAAGGTAGGAGATGCAGGTCACAGTGGAAAAGGTTGTAATGGCATCAGGGATATCATGTAGGGATATTATATCAGTGGACGATGGCTCATTCCCGGGCAGGAACCACATCAAAACCTACTGAGCACGGTGCTGGATGATTTTGCAATTGTTAGTTAAAACAACAAACCAGCGTGCTTCCCACACTTGTGGTCTTCTTTTACTGTCAGCAACGGTCAGGTCCTGACAGGTCTGCACCAAAGCCACAGCCAAGAATATCCCGAAGACTCGAACTTTCCATCGATCTCAATGCATCTTAAATTGGGAGGAGGGGGGTGGAGGAAAGTACATCTACCAGTTGTCTTTGCTCCAATTCAGAGAAACCCAGCAGGAGCACCCCAAATCTGCTACAGCAATGTTTGCCTCTAAAGTTAGGAGATAATAAGAGATCCATTTTTCTGACTTTATAGTAAATTGTAGTGTAACTACAGGGAAGGCTGAGATTTTAAAAGACAGCTGACATTGATCCACTTCAATGGGTTTTGGCTCCATCTTGGACGCCCTCACCAGGGGCTCTTCCCTAGACACTGTGGAATGGGGTGGGATTGTAGCCTAGTGACTGCAGGTTGGGGACTCATGGCTTGCAGTGGCAAAAGCGTGCATGGAGGGTGGAAGGAGGAGGCTGCAGAGCGCAGAGCTGCGGCAGGAGCCCTCCAGGGGGAAATTTATCTTGTGGCTCCGTCCCCTGCCTTAAATCACATCCCCTCTGTGGACCTATCTCCATCTCTGTAAAATGGAAAGACACTGGCCAGGGGCAGTGGCTCACGACTGTCATCCTAGCACCCTGGGAGGCCAAGGCGGGAGGATCGCTGTAGGTCAGGAGTTCGAGACCAGCCTGAGCAAGAGCGAGACCCCGTCTCTACTAAAAATAGAAATTAATTGGCCAACTAAAAATATATAGAAAAAATTAGCCGGGCATGGTGGCGCATGCCTGTAGTCCCAGCTACTCGGGAGGCTGAGGCAGGAGGATCGCTTGAGCCCAGGAGTTGGAGGTTGCTGTGAGCCAGGCTGACTCCATGGCACTCACTCTAGCCCAGGGAACAGAGTGAGACTCTGACTCAGAAAAACAAAACGAAACAAAAAAATACAGAAAGACGTTAAAAGTGCCGCCCCCACGTCCCCAAATTTGAGCAGCAACTTCTGCCTCGTGGGCAGCTTCTTTGCAGGAAGTGTGGGCGCGCAGCCCTCCCTGGCGGGCCCCAAAGTGCCGGCCCACTGCGAAGTCACCTTTGGGGACACGGGGGGCGGGGGGGGGGACACCTACTGTCGCCGTCTGAGCCCCGCCCGCAGAGGAGCCCCCCCCAGGAGGAAGCGTTCGGGGCGAGGCTCCGGAGTCGCCTCCTCTTCCTCCGCTCCGCGCCCAGGGCAGGGCGGGAGGGGCGCGCAGGGTCACCTTCCTCGGCTCCGTCGCCTGCCGGTCCCCGCGAGGCGTCGCGGGCCCGGGGCTCTGCAGGGCGCCGCCCGGGTGTAGACCATCCGGGAGGGCGGCCGTGCGGGGCGGAGGGGCCGAGGCCACCGCGCGTCCCCGCGCTCACCGGCGCCGTCCCCTCCCCGCAGGCGCGCCGGGACCATGTCGGCCGAGCCCGCCAGCGGCCCCACGCAGGACCAGGTGGACATCCTGGAGTACAACTTCAACAGGGTCAACAAGCGCCCGGACCCCACCACGCTGTGCCTCATCGCGGCCGAGGCCGGCCTGTCGGAGGAGGAGACGGAGGTGAGCCCCTGCGTCCCCACCGGTCCCCGAGCTGCGCGACACCGCCGCCACCTCCCTGCCCTGCTCTCCCGCTGCGCCCCGCAGCGCGGCGACAGCGCCGCTGCTCCCTCGGGCCTCGCCGGCTGCTGTCGCCCCCTCCCGGGCTCTGCGCCCCCTCCCGGGCTCTGCGTCCCCTCGGCCCGAATCTGTGTCACCATTGCAAGCAAGGGACCTTAGCGACGACCGCCAGCTACACTGGCAAGCGCGGAGACCGAGGCCCGGAGGGAGGAAACTGTCACAGTGGCTAATGTCGCCAAGCCCGCCAGGTCCCCCCGGCTCGCCTTAGCTGCAGAGCTGGAGTTGCAGGAAGCCAGGGAGAAGACGGGGGTCAGACTGTCAAGAACCCCCCAGTTCTAAGGTTTGGAGTCTTTTCCTGGAGTTTTCCAAGAAGGCAGACACCTGACATGACAGCTGAAGGCAGTAGCAGCAGATGACCCCTAAGGGCTTTGATTTATTTATCTATATTTTTTGTTTTTTTTTTTTTAAGTCTCCTATATTACCCTGAAAATTGCTAGCGTAGGGAATGCAGGGCTGCTCCTGATTATTAACGGCAGGTGCGGTGTTGGAGCCTGCAGCTCACTTTTTTCTTAACCCTGTCTAAACTCTGACTTTAGTTTTCCCCTTGGTCATGGACAGACCATTTGTTACGAGTGACAGACTACTTGGAACTGATCTGGTCCTCTTACCATGGGCCATTCTCAGCTGAGGTTTAAAAGCTTGTCATTAGACCCCAGGACCAAGACCCTAGACCTTAAGTCAACATTGTTTTTACTAATGAAGCCAGTGGCACTTTAGAAAACTTGTCCAGAGCTAATCGGCTGCTACCCAGGTCAAGGAGAAAGCAAACTGATAGGTTTTTAGCAACCGGCTAACCAGAACTTAATGGGAATTGATTTAGTGTCACCCGAGTCTACCAGCTCATGTTTCTTAGAATCCCTCAGGGGAGGGGGGGGCAGCCTGCTGGGGCTTTATCATTTAAAATCCCACGCTATATTTAGACAAGAGGAGTGATTGCAGAGACAACTACTTATCTTTTTAAAATAAAGCTGTGAGATTCTGGGGTTACAATACCAAGTAGGGGTCTTGAGTAGAGAACCCCTTCTCAGCCTCTGATTCCCCCAAAGCAAGTTTCCATGGATCGCCCTACCTAAAAAGCAGAATAAGAATAATGTGTGTTGGCCTTTGTAATGGCTAATCCGTGCCAGGCATCGTTCTGGGCACTGTCCACCTATTAGATCATTTATCTGCGAGGTAGGTACTATTAGCCGATTGTACAGATGAGAAAAGTGAGGCCTGGGTAGGTTAAATAACTTGCCCAGTACAGCAACTCGAAAACAGTAGGACTAGGATTCGAACCCTGGGGTTCCAGTTCCACGGCCCACATTCTTTTTTTTTTTTGAGACAGGGTCTCACTTTGTTGCCCAGGCTAGAGTGAGTGCCATGGCATCAACCTAGCTCACAGCAACCTCAAACTCCTGGGCTCAAGCGATCCTCCTGCCTCAGCCTCCCGAGTAGCTGGGACCACAGGCATGCACCACCATGCCCGGCTAATTTTTTCTATATATATTAGTTGGCCAATTAATTTCTTTCTATGTATAGTAGAGACGGGGTCTTGCTGTTACTCAGGCTGGTTTTGAACTCCTGACCTTGAGCAATCCGCCCGCCTCGGCCTCCCAAAGTGCTAGGATTACAGGCGTGAGCCACCTCGCCCGGCCTCTTTCTACTTTTAGTAGAGACGGGGTCTCGCTCTGGCTCAGGCTGCTTTCGAACTCCTGACCTTGAGCGATCCTCCTACCTAAGTCTCCCAGAGTGCTAGGATTACAGGCGTGAGCCACTGCACCTGGCCGATGGCCCGTGCTCTTAACCAATGTGACATGCTATCTGCACAGAGGACAGATGGAAACAATTGGATGAGGTGGGAGGGAAGTACTGAAGACTCAATTTGTGCTATCTTTCTTCCTGCAAAAAAAAATCCATGCATTAAGTGGCAATCATTCTGGGCTGTAGTCAACCTTTCCTCAAGATTCACCTGATTTTATTAGGGCACTGCAATGAAATCTGGTTGCAGGCAGGAAGAAAGACAGGGCATCTGCTTTTTTCTGTGATTGAGGCCGGCCAATTCAGATCTCTGCACACAGGTTCATCTGCTCTTCTCGGGCAGTTCTCTCATTTCCCTCTTCTGCCAGGCTCAAATAAACCAACAGCAGACCTGCCCCCCCCCAAAAAAAAATGAGTAAGTGTGGGGTGAGTCAGCCTCCTAGCAGGGCCCCTGCCACGGGGCCAACACCTTCTTCCTCTCTCATGGCGACTGCAGCTTGGCTTGCCGCTGTGTCTTCCTGCCCAAACCTGCATGGAAGCTTCTAGAACCCCAGAACTCAGAGAGAGGCAAAATTCAGCAAGTGCAGGGAAATATGCATCCCAGGTGGCACAGGCTGCCTGCTGTCCCTTACTGGGTTGGGTGGCATCTTTCAACTTCCCGTCCTTTCTACCTCCTGCCACCCCACCCCTGTTTGCCCTGGTGAGTGAGAACGGTTCGGTTCCTTCTGTCATTTTCTCAAACAACAGATACATACATATACACACATGTATGTGTGTGTGTGTGTTTTAGTATCTTCTAAGAAAAGTGTCTTCTGGTGATATCATGCCCAATGATGAACATTCAGGCATTAATCAAATTATTTTTATTTATAGCAGATATCATAGGGACCATTTCAATAACTCCATGGAAGCCAAGGCCTATTGGGCCAACATATAAGCCATGTCTGTGATTAGCATTCCCCCCTTTTCTATTCTTGACTGATGATGTCCCTTTCCATGAGAAAATGAAAAAAAAAAATAATATAAAATGCCAACATAGTATTTATTCTACATACCTGAATCCTCACCCTACCCTAATACCACCTACCTCTGGACATAGATAGCATCATATTCTTAATTTTCCTGGAACAAGGAATACTTTAGTAAAAGAAAAATGAGCATGAGATGTTCCCACGAGATAGTTGCTAGCACCAATTCCCGCCGCTGATACTTTGGCAGGGACAAGAGGAACGAAGAGATTGAAACATGCCCCGACTAGGGAGGTTGGCTGAGCTCTTTATAACTGCAAAATTCTCTGCGCGATGGGGCTGAGGGAGGAACACAGAGTCAAGTGAGGGGCGATCTCATTGGAATAACTTTTTAAGCCACATTTAAATCCTAGATCCTAGAATCGGGATCCTAGAATTCAAGGTTTTGCTCATGACGGTAATCTAAATATCTCCTACATTCAAATTAGATGCAACGTTACAGAATCCCAATCCCTGCGGCTTTTCTTATTTTGAAGTCAGTGTTAGAAAGGGCTGGGAAAGCTCTTTTGCCAGTCCCCTGGGAGGTTGGGATGATCTGGTGTTTTCTATTATTGCGCACACACACACACACACACACACACACACACACACACACACACACACACACACTCCTCAAGCACAGTGTAGCTGGCATTGGTTCTTAGAGAAGTTTCCAGTATTCTTATCTCCTCTTGATGTCCTGGGCTTGTTCCCAGAACCCAGTGGTTTTAGTTGTTGGGTGTTTTATCAGTGGAATAAAGACCTTTAAAAGTCCCTCCCTGAAAAGAATGACATGTTAGTTGGTAGAGAAAAGGATGGGAACAATGTTCTTTTGCCCCAACCCCTCCTTGTCACAGTGTATAATTATCATCTGTTCGCTCAGAGTAAATAAATCTCCATCAATGGGCAAGGGTAATGAGGGCATTCATTTATAAGCCAGCAAGGGACAAATGTCTTTCCCAGGGGAGGACAGAAACAAAGAAGGCCAGGATAAAGCCAGGTGGAAAATTAGCATTGATGTGGGATGTGGTAAGATTCAGCTCTAGAGGGAAGGAAAGCAAGTAAGGTATTTGATGGTTTTTGTTGGGCAGCAACTATCGTGCTAAATTATTGTATATATATGATCTAAACTATGTATCTTTAGAAAATAGTGGAGCTTTTCTTGCACACCCTCCCATCCCCCAATGCCCCAATGCTAGGGCTCAATTTGTCAAGCGTTTGGATGCCAACTCACAAAACCACAAATGCACTTCCTGCCAAAGTCATTTCTGGTAACGGTTCATCAATATTCTGCCTCATTGCGTAGCATAAAGATGGGAGTGGATCTTTTGAATAAGGCCAGCTCAACTATTTTGTCTTCTTTTTTTTTTTTTTTGAGACAGAGTCTCACTCTGTTGCCCAGGCTAGAGTGAGTGTCTTGGCACCAGCCTAGCTCACAGCAACCTCAAACTCCTGGGCTCAAGCAATCCTCCTGCCTCAGCCTCCCAAGTAGCTGGGACTACAGGCATGAGCCACCATGCCCGGCTAAGTTTTTTTGTATACATATTTTTAGTTGGTCAATTAATTTCTTTCAATTTTTGGTAGAGACGGGGTCTCACTCAGGCTGATTTGGAACTTCTGACCTTGAGCGATCGATCCTCCCTCCTCGGCCTCCCAGAGTGCTAGGATGACAGGCGTGAGCCACCGTGCCTGGCCATCAACCATTTTGTCTTAAATGAATCCTGATAGAAAGTGAGATTTTTCTTCCCCCAGATTTTAATTAGTCGGTCTTGGAAACGCCCCATTTATTCAGCTCTAGTAACAAAATCCTACTGAATCAGGTCTGGTAGCCTTGAAACCCCCCACAGAGCTACCTCGTTAATGAGCCTGGAGCCTCACTGCTCTCAGACCATAATCCAGAGTGAACTAAACACACACAATAGGGGGTTACAGGAGAAAACGTGCCCAGCTTTGGCAGGAGAGCTCTCTCTTCTCTTTGAGGTTAAGCAAGCAACCCCCAAAGAGAAGGCTGCCCTCGTGGTCATCTCCTGCCCCCAGCTTTAGACACTCTTTTCTGCTGCCACCCCACAGTATAAAGGTGTATAAGACACCTGATCTTGGCAACTGTGTGGGGGGCATTTCACTGTAGAAACTCTGCTATAAGGTTAGGGTGAGTTGCAGTTATGGTCCCATGCTGCTCAGCTTTCATTTTTTGTTTTCTGTTTTTTTTTTTTTTTCATCTCAGTTTTATCCCCAAGGAGTGCTCTGAGGTTGCCCAGTTCTCAGTTATTCATTCATTTTATTCAACAAATTCTTAGCAAGTACTGCCAATGAATAAGGCCCTTGGTAAGATGAGCATGCACTGATAAAACGTAACAGCCATAGTGATCTATCTGGGACATTAAGAAGATGCTTTGTAGTCTTTACTAGAAGTCTCTAAAAAAAAAAAAAAGAAAGAAAGAAAAAAGAAATTATAAATTATATAAAAATTTTAAAAAAAATAAGAAGATGCTTTAATTTCTTTTATTCATTCAACAAACATGGATTAATTTCCAACTCTTAAACCCTTATGCTAGGGGCTAAGGATGCAAGGGTGATAGATGAATACAGTCTCTGCTTTTGTGAATCTTACAATCTAGGAAGGAGTATAGATTAAAAACAAGTAAATCATGAAAGATATGAGAAGTTCTGTGAAGCTAACAAAGTACTAAATTGACGAGTAAGTAGCTAAGTGGGGAACCCACTTTAGATGGTCAGGTAAGGCTTCATTGAGAAGGTTCTGTTTAAGCTGAGACCTGAGGATGAGACAGAGATCACCGATAAAGCATGAAGACAGGCGAATGTTCTCAACATGGGAAATAGCATGTGCAAAGGTCCTGAGGCAGGAAAGAGGCTTCCCTCTTTTCCACCTGTACCGCAGAGGTGGTACCTTTTAGAAAGAGTGAATGAACATTTCGGTTTTTCAGTAGGTGACAAACATTCTTGCATGATTCTTTTTTTTTTTTTTTTTTTTCCAGAAATGGTTTAAGCAGCGCCTGGCCCAGTGGAGGCGGTCTGAAGGCCTGCCCTCAGAGTGCAGATCCGTCACGGACTAAGGAGGCAGAGGGCGTTGACAGCCTGGCTCCACGAAGACCATCTGTTGTTTCTGTCCTTGGCTGAACCAAGCCTTCCTGGTGTTTCAGTGTAGCGCTCTGTTCCATTGTTAGCTGTCCTGCTATTTAACACGACGTTGTATTTTTTTTTAATGTACATAACTAGGAAAGAAAATAACGATAGGAAGCTATGTGCAACTTCTGTGTAATGCAGTGGCTTGGCCAGAAAAGCTGTGTGGCTTGCATTTCTCTTTGGGTCATGATGACAGGTGTGAAAACCATCTAAGTTTGCCTTTGACTGTCACCTCCCAGTAAACAATTTGTTTTCATCGTCCATTTCAGAGCAGTCAGGCCTTTGTTGAAAAAAGATTAAATGATGGAGAGGAGAAAATATTTCCTTCTGAATCTACTTCCCTAAGTGGTTTTCCTTATGTTTCACCTAATAGCAATGATGGTTGCATGAGAATCCAGAGGGATATGTATTCAAGTCATGCAAATTTCATAAAACGACATAATTTACATACATGCAAATTTCATAAAGGAACTATAATCCAGTCCCTTGGATTGGAGCTGCATTCACTTGGAAAGAACCCACTCAGGCTAGAAGACAGAAACTCCAACTGACAGAAAAGCAAGTAGCTAAGAAAAAAAAATCCACAAAAACCTCGTGAATTTACCTTATTTAAATGCCTTGGTTGAATTTATTTTGCTAATTAAAATGAACTGCTTTTTGTCTCTAAAATGATCTTCTAAATAAAACTTTTAACATTTTGTTGAAAATGCACTGAGTCCTCTGCAGATTTTTCGCTAAGTAATAAACATATCAAAGAGAAACACACTTCGTATGTAGTAGAAGATGATGGACTGGAAGAATGGTCGTTTTCCAAATCCTTGCCACTCAACGTGCGGTCCAAAGCCAGCCTCACCAGCATTAGCTTCAATGCTTGTGAGAAATGCAGAGTCTCGGATCCCAATCCAGGCCTACTCAGTCAGAATCTGCACTTTTTTATTTTTTATTTTTTTTGAGACAGAGTCTCACTGTGTTGCCCGGGCTAGAGTGCCATGGCGTCAGCCTAGCTCACAGCAACCTTGAACTCCTGGGCTCCAGCGATCCTCCTGCCTCAGCCTCCCAAGTAGCTGGGACTACAGGCATGCGCCACCATGCCCGGCTAATTTTTTTTCTCTCTCTCTATATATATATATCAGTTGGCCAATTAATTTATTTCTATGTATAGTAGAGATGGGGAGTCTCGCTCTTGGTCAGGCTGGTCTCGAACTCCTGAGCTTGAGCGATCCTCCCTCCTTGGCCTCCTGGAGTGCTAGGATTACAGGCGTGAGCCACTGGGGCTGGCCTGAATCTCCACTTTTAACAAGGCTGCCAAATGGTTCGTGTGCTCAGGAACGTTGGAACAGCACTGGTCTAACAAACTCTGCACTCGATTTGCATGCATTTACTATCACAGCACATTAAATGTCTGCACATTAAATGTATGGTCCCAATGTGTCCCCCACAAAATTCATATGTTGAAACTTAATCCCTAGTGGGATATTACTAGGAGATAGAGCCTTTGGGGGTGATTAGGTCATGAGGGCTCAAACCCCATGATGGGATTAGTGCCCTTATCAAAGAGTCCCCAGGGAGCCTGTCTGTCCCTTCTGCCATAAGAGGGTACATTGAAGGCTCCATCTACCGTGTTTCCCCGAAAATAAGCCCTACCCATAAAATAAGCCCTAGCAGGATGTCTAAGCATGTGCGCAGTAGAAGCCCTACCCCAAAATCAGCCCTAGTGATGGGCGTGGCTATGAAAATCATCCCTAGTGATGGGCGTGGTTATGAAAATCATCCCTAGTGATGGGCGTGGCTATGAAAAATCAGCCCTGGTGATGGGCGTGGCTATGAAAATAAGCACGAGTGAGGAGCGTGGCTATGAAAATAAGCCCTAGTGAGGGGCGTGGCTGCGCAGCGCATCTGCACGACCCATGCATGTCGTCGAGGATCGGGAAAGAACACGAGCAGCCCTTCTCATCTGCCCCGTGAGAGCTCTAGTGCTCCACAGGAGAGATCGGGGCCAGTGGTTCTAAAGGAAATAGAGTCGCAAGAAATTCAGGATGGGATTCGGGGTTTGGAGAGTGATGATGATGTTCCAGAAGAAGACGACTTCACTCTATTTGAATCAATGGAGATGGTTGTACTGTACTTAAAAAACATAACACATCCCCTGAAAATAAGCCCTAGGGTGTCTTCTTGAGGAAAAATAAATATAAGACCCTGTCTTAATTTCAGGGAAACACGGTATGAAGAATGGGCCCTTGCCATATGGAGGGTTTACCACAATGTGCTGGCGGCTTGATCTTGAACTTTCCGGCCTCCAAAACTGTGATCGGTAAATTTATATTGTTTATAAATTAGTCTAAGGTATTTTATTATAGCAGCTAAACACACTAAGACACCATCTTGATAGTCTACCAGTTAAGACTGTGTGCATTGCATGGTATGGCGTGCAACAGCAACTTGGTTACGATGGATTAAGACGTAGGGTTTTTCGTTTGTCTAAGTAGTTGTTTTTACATAAGACATCAGCAGGCGGGTGGTCCAGGGATGGTAGAGTGGTTCCCTAATGTTGTCACTCTGTCTTCCCACTTTGCTGTCTTTAGCCCACAGCTCCGGTGTTCATGGACACAGGTGGATGCCTGCACCCATGGAGTCTGCATTCCAAGCAAAAAAAAAAAGAGAGAGAGAGAGAGGAAGCAAAGGGCAAATGCAAGCTAAGACTTTCCCCTTGAAAAGGGTTTCATGCAACTTTCCTAGCAACTTGCGCCTGCATCCCATTGGCCAGTGTGGGTCACATGACCTCCCCTAACTGCAAGGAAGTCTGGGAATATGAGCCTCTGGGCATATTGCTGCCTTGAGTAAAATCAGGGCTCTGTCGGTGAGAAAAAAGGGCAAGATGGCTATTGGAAAAGCCACTGCCCTTATCTGTTATCCAACCCAGAATGATGCTGGTGTACGCTTCTGAACTGTCACCTACAAGGCAGGCACAGTCTGTCCAGCTATTTAAAACGAAGAGCCCAAAAGGACAAACACTAACAATTCATCGGAATATGGATGTTTACAAGATACCATTAAACATCCTTGGGCAAGCTTCCTTTTCCTCCACCTTAAAACATTTCTTCTGTAAACAAGCACACAGCGAGCCCGGGACTGAGCAGGATGGTCCCGTGTCTGGTGTCCTCCTCTGCAGCCTGCCCGTGGTCTGCTTAGCTTGGGGCCCAAGAAGAAGAGGCCAGAGGATCACTTCCTGCACCCCAAAGTCTAGGGTCCCTGAATGGCATGCGATGGGAGAGAATGAAGATTCAGTGGCCTTTTGAATGCAAATTTGTTACCAAAACTAATATCTTTTGGGGACATGGGGTGAACAGAGTCTTGCCCAGGCTAGAGGGTTGTGGCATCAGCCTACCTCACAGCAACCTCCAACTCCAGGCTCAAGCGATCCTCCTGCCTCAGCCTCCTGAGTAGCTGGGACTACAGGCATGCGCCAACATGCCCGGCTAATTTTTTCTATATATTTTTAGTTGGGCAATTAATTGCTCTCCATTTTTAGTAGAGATGGGGTCTCGTTCTTGCTCAGGCTGGTTTCGAACTCCTGACCTTGAGCGATCCTCCCGCCTCGGCCTCCCAGAGTGGTAGGATTACAGGCATGAGCCACCGCGCCTGGCCCCAAACTAATATCTTTGAGTTTGCTTTTTTCAACTGTAAAGCAAAGACTAAATTAAATAAAGCGCTTTGTAAATAGTAACAATAATTACTATTGCTACAAAGTACTAATACATAGGGCGACATTCATTTTGACACCTTAAGTATTAATAAGAACCCACAGCTCTAAGTTTTATTATCAGGAGTCTCTTCTGAACACCCAGGGTCACACACCCGAGCAATGACAGCCACCCTGGACTGAGAAACCCTGCTCCGGCCTCTCTCTTCACCTTGCCTCCTAGTGCTGAGGTCGTGGACACCATTGGGTTAGCTGGACCGAGAATCATTCCCAAGCCCCTTCTCTTTTTTTTTTTTTTTTTGAGACAGAGTCTCACTTTGTTGCCCAGGCTAGAGTGAGTGCCGTGGCATCAGCCTCGCTCACAGCAACCCCGATCTCCTGGGATCAAGAGATCCTCCTGCCTCAGCCTCCCTAGTAGCTGGGAATACAGGCATGTGCCACCATGCCTGGCTAATTTTTTCTATATATATTTGTTGGCCAATTAATTTCTTTGTATTTATCGTAGAGACGGGGTCTTGCTCTTGCTCAGGGTGGTTTCAAACTCCTGACCTCGAGCAATCCTCCCTCCTCGGCCTCCCAGAGTGCTAGGATTACAGGCATGAGCCACCGTGCCCGGCCTAGATAGTTCTTTATTATCCTTTTGCATGGAGAGTTGTGAGAATGGGGGCCTGGGGGTGGGTATGGACAGCCACGAGGATAAAAAAAGGGAGAGAACAAAGCGAGGCAGATATGGGAATGAGACAGAGTCCTGGGGTCCTGGTCCCCAGTCTTCCCTTGGGCTGCCCCAGCCTTCCTCTGTGAACTAGTGAATTCCTTTCTTGGTGTGTATCTGTCATCTGTAAATAGACAAGAGCCCTGACTAATGGCAGGGTGAATAAAGGCAGAGAGGAGTGCATGAAAGGAGGAACATCAGCCCCGAGAGTAACTAAGGATCCCGGAGATCCAGAAATTCACAGTAAGAGGTTAACCAGGAGGATATAGGCCAAGAGACCTTTAGAATAAGTGGGCAGATAACCAGATTTTTCTCAGTCAATAGGGACTTGAGAAAAAATTCATTTTGCATATTAAAGGAAAAGACCACTGCTAAGTAGATAATTTATGGACCTCCAGGTCACGTGCTTTTTTTGAACAAAATGCACGTGTATGGTAGATAGGCTTTTGTCACTTTCTTGGGAACATCTTGCTACTCTCTCAACCCCTGTCCTCTTCCTGTGTAAATCTTGTTCCACACATTCTACTGCCCACTAAAAGTTTATTTAAAAATCTCTTACCAACTATTTCCAATGTATCCCTGCCTAAGCTCAATGCCAAAAGGACTAGCAATAAGACATTGGTAGAAATGGTAAAAAAGAAAAAAACAAAAAAAAGAAAATAAGAAAAAAAAAAGAAAAAAGGAAAAAAAAAAGAAACAAAAGGACTAGCAAAAATAATGGTCATCATACAAAAATAACTTGAAACTTTGCATTCTTTTTCCATGATGGAAGTGCTAAGAGGGGCTGGGTGGGCACCAGTCAGGCAAGAATCTGGGACTTCAGCCACTGCTTATATTGGCAAAGTAAGAGA